TGTGTGTGTGTGTGTGTGTGCGTGCGTGCGTGCGTGTGCGTGTATGTGTGTGTGTGTGTGAAATAAAGTGTTTCATAAATATATATAAACTATGACAATATTATTAAGGCTTATAAAAGCAGACTCACCTACTCACATGCATTGTTTTGTATTGTTATGTTGTTGTTTATTTTAATGTTTTCAGAGACAGTGGGCAAATCTTGGGCCGGGGTCGCAGAAGAGTGAGTACTGACCTATCTGACCTACTGGCTCCGTTCTGCAATGGGGTGCTGAAAGAGGCTGACCTGGTGTACCGCGAGGTGTGCCAGAACTCACCCCAAGACCGGGGGCTCTGTCTCTCCAGCGCCGACTACAGGCGCGAAAGGCGTCGTCGATTGACGGTGCAGATGTTGAACGTCGGATGCCTTCCTTTGTATACTCCGTGTGAGGTATCGCAGGCTACCAAGAGTTTACTGGCTCGGCGTCAGTATTCTATGGGAGATGACAAAGGAGATCTGGCCTCTCATATGATGGGTTTCCACAAAGAAATGAATGGTGATGACGTGGAACTTCGCCTTCGAGGTGGAATGGCGTCTGTTATCAAAGTGCTTACATCAGCATTTCTGCTGCAAACGATCAGATTCAAAGCTGCTGTGGAAACGGTGGACTGGTCAGAATTCAACGTGAAAAATACACGTGACGGTAAGGATTCGAAAGTCAAGGTAACGTGTAGGGACGGTCGTGTGTTTGAAGGCCATCACGTGATTATGACCGTGCCTTTAGGCCATCTCAAAGAGCATGCGCATAAAATGTTTAAGCCAAGTTTATCTAAAGAAAAACTGGAAGCCCTCAACACTATTGGATTCGGATGTATTACGAAGGTGTTTCTGATTTACGATAAACCTTTGCGTCAGAATCCAGTCAATTTTGTCGGCGTTGGCTTAGACCGTCCCTCAGCAGACGGCTGTCGCAAACTGTTCGCGAACGCCTTCAGACTTCGAACTCATCCAGTCCATGACAACATCCTAGAGCTGTCCTTGTCAGGTGCCGAAGCAGAAGACATCCGAGACGAAGATATCGTCCGAGAAGTCTCATACATTCTCAACTTAAATTTTGACGCTGATGTTCCCGAACCAGTTCAGATTTATAAAACTAAATGGCGTAAAAACCCTTTCATTAGAGGCACCCACCCTTACTTAACGACAGCGTGCAGCGGAGCTGAGATGGGCACGTTGGCGGAACCTCTGAGGTTTAGGGGAAACCCTGTCGTCCTCTTCGCTGGTGACGCTACTTTTGAGCACTATCGCTGTCTTACTCACGCTGCCAGAGCCAGTGGTCTGAGAGAGGCAGAACGTTTGGCAAATCTTTATAACGATTTATTTCAGTATGCAAACACAATGAATTAATGACTTGCTCAGAGTCAAGTTAAGAGGTACAGTACCCACAAACAGTATGAGGGGTCGGCTGAGAGTACCGCTGTACCTGCGTATATGTATTTGTCTGTATTTTGCGCGCGCACTCAACAATGAGACTGCACTGGTGTTTAATCCATCATTAATTTACGCGCCCATGATGCACGCCAGCGTAGCAATGTTATTTTAGAAGGAAAGGTGCAGCGGCCCTGACAGTACTCAGTCTTGAATAATACAGTAAAACACGGATAGGTCGAACACAGAAGACTCGAAATCCCGCTTTTTTTTTCTTCTTCTTTGTAAGATACCGCGAACTACGGATCCTCGAAGTATCGAGGCCGGTCTCGACAAATTCAAGGTATCCGTGTAATATTGTATATTTTTGTTGTACACGGTAAGTGTTTTACGGCGCTCGCCACTGTATAAAGTCATATGAGCTTGCGAGACGCATTATTAAGGATTTTCATTTGGTAGGAATTTTGCTTAGGTGGAGGTTGAAACCTACTCTTATTGACTTATTGATTTTAGGACCAGCAAGGGATATTTAACGTGCGCAACATGCACACAGGACCTCCGATATTTTTTCGCCCGTATCCGAAAGAGATAGGTATTAGATGCTATCTACCCTAAGGTCAGTGGTGTTGCTGAAAGACGGCAGTAAGAAGGAGCCAAGGAGTAACAGAACAGTAGAAAGGCTGCAGAAAGAGTCGGGAGCCCAGAGGAGGTGGCACAGAAAGGGGGGGG